ACTGACTCGTGAGCAAACAAAGAACATAAAGTGCAGGTTTACAAAAACTGAGGCAAGGTGGACGACAGCACATACAAGATGAGATCATAAGAGGGCAGTGCAGTGAACTATCTGGCCTGTAAGAAAATGGATAGGTGGACATACTAAGAGCTATTTCGAAGAATCGGGAACAGGTTTGTATTGGGAAACTGGAGAAACTATAAACAAGAAATATGAAAAGACAAGTGAGCACAAAAATAAGAGAGGAAGCGATTGACTCAAAGCAGAGACAAATGCATTTAAACTTGACATAGATAAGATACAAGGTGGAAGGGTATGAAAACAAGACAAGAGATTACAAAAAATCAACACTAACAAAAAGCCATGAAATAAGTTGCTATTTTAGTCTTTTACTACAATGATTCACAGGATGCATGACAAATATAAAAGGTTTATTAACTCCCAAAGTCATAAAAGTTAAAATCCAGATAAGGGAACTATCTTGATGGCTTTGGAGAGGAAAGGAATGGTAATATATAACATCCGGACAATCACTCATTGCTGTCAACATCTAGGATCAAAGTCTCCTTCATTTGAGCAGCAAAACATTCAATAGACAGCAAAAGCTCAACTAGAACATTTGATAAGGGTGGGGACTTGGGCCAAGATCTTGCCTTCATCTCTGGGACACAATTATAGATGCAGATTATACTTTATCTGCTTCATGCAACTTTACATTCCATCTAATAAGAGGTTAAAGAAATCAGCGATAACCTGAGCCTGTGTTTCCTAGAGTGTGTTTGAGTTGGACCTTATGATTATTGTTCTGTTTGTAAGAAATTAACTACCTGTCAGTTTCATGTGTTTCTGCTATAAAGGGAACCTGACATTCAATTATGTAAGCAGTGATATTAGCTGACGGAAAAAACAATGGCACATCCTCTTTGTATTTGTTGTCACAATATTGAATGACTCCATCTTCTCTCTCTTCTGTTTTTTTGCCCTGTCATACTTCTCTATTTCTTATTTCTCATTTTTTTATACATTAAACCTTTAGAGTATATAAAATAGGTTTAGGTATTATCTTAAAAAAGAAACAAACCTACATGTGAAAAACAACAACTTTCAATCCACTTGTTTTTAAAGCTTTCTTTACGTGTTGAAATAGATGGATAAATAGATAAATAGATTGAATAGAAAAAAGTGTAAAGGCCTGGATTTAGCATCATAGGCTATGTAGTGTTTTGTGATGCCTGAAGTCACCATTTGTGTATGCAAGGATGGTTATAAGGCATCAGCCAGCACAGCACCCTATGATATCTCTGAGTGAAAAAAGACTGAATGAGAAGTGGAAGCTGTGGACTGCTTTCCACAGACACTAACACCTGCCAATTTGTGCTAGTTAACATACAAATAAAATAGCATGATTTCATTCACTAAAATTAGAAAAAGAAACTATGAATGGGGTGTTACTTAAATTATTTACAGAATCCATATATAAATCACATAAGCCACATTATATCAGACAGATTGCATTTAAAACGGTCTAAAAACTGAAAAACTGTCAGATTCAATTTAGCGATTAGATCTAACAAAATTGAAGCGCAGCAGACCTCTGTTCTTACAAAGTTGTGTCAGAGGTAGGAGTGGTTTGAGAACAGTTCTGCATTGTTGAATGTTGAGTGACAACATGGGGTTCTGTGCCATTTAGATAGATGAAGGGGGCAAACATCCAGACCACAAATATTGCCGAACTTTAAGCTCTAATATAGAGCAAATGAAAGAGATTTCACACGATTAGCATGCACTAATTCTGATGAGATGCTTCTACTTGCCCAATAAATGACATTCTTACATTGATTGTTATCAGATAATTAGTGAAACATCTTTGGAAAAAAAATGACAATTCTCTGACACAAGGGATTGTAGTCTGTGTAAAGCAGTCAATAAGAATAAGCATTAATTCATAAGAGCTGAAAATATAAGGTAAACTTGTTTTAATCACAGTCAGATGTTTTCTTTTTTAAGCCTGGATTTTGATACTGAAATTGGAATGTTGATTTATTATCTTGTTTTATCAACAACAAAAAAAAAGATTACCACTTATTAGCAGAATTGTTGCAGATATTTTTCTCCTTCTTCTTTTTTCTTCTGAAAAATCCAGTTATTGACCCAGCTCATATCCTTTAAGATTAATGGACCAGTATAAAGAACGTGTGTGGCTTGTGAGTAAAAGCTCAATAACTGTTAACTGTTAAAGTACGTTTGTTCCTTTTATTTCAGATGTAGAATGTGTAAAAACTATGGAACATGACTTAGTGGTTCAAAGATGTGATGCTCAAAAATGACCCTCCAGCATTTACTGATGCTGAACAAAAGAAAAACAATATGTGAAATTAAAATGCAAAGAAACGCTGAAATTGCACTGATTGCACTGACACATTCAGTAAAAACCTTTATTTTGTGTATTCTTTCAAGCTTCACAGAGTGAACAGCCACTGCTAATCACAGTGTTCTACTTTAAATAAATAAAAGTTAAAACCAGGCTTAGCGCCAATATCCTACTGTGTAAAGGTCACAGGCCAGGTGCCTGTGTTTTATTCTCTCTTTCTGTTCCTCTCTGAACCCTGCCACACCCAAATGTTACAAAGGTCTCCCAATAAACCAAAAGAGAGATCCAACACAGCTGCTGGCTAAACAAAGTAGCCAAATGGAAGCCTGATCTTCAGCCATCGTTTGCTTTGGTGACACATGCTTTGTGATATCTATCTATCTATCTATCTATCTATCTATCTATCTAT